TCACATGGCATGATTTTTACTAACGTCAAATCAACATATGAGAGTGAATGTAACGATATATGTAAAACATAAGTTATTTCCTGACTTACGAGATTAAGACTGCATGATGAAATGGACGATAAATAAGTCTCCCATCCGGGCTCTGGCCTCCTCGTTGGCCTTGAAAAAAGTTCCTTTCTCTCTTTGCATCTGGTTTTCTAACCAGCAGAACCGTAATAATTACAGTCTGCTTAGAGTTGCTGGGCAAATTGAGTAGCGCTCAAATCTTTACTATGCAGATGTGAGAAGAACTACGTTTATTGAGAGTAATATTTAATATGGACTTCTAAGACGCCCAAGTCTTACTCCGCAGGCCCCCTTTCACTGGAAGAAAATAAAATGCTCTCTGCAACCTAACTGCACCCGGCCACCCCCCGCCCCCACTCTGCCCACGATCACCCATGGCCGGGGGTCACGTGCATTAAACATACGTAAGGAAACAGGAATGAGCTATACCAGGCTCAAGACTCCACCCCAGGCTAGGATATATATCACTATTCTACGTCATACAGTAAAATTCTCTTTACAAGTAACTCTGAAGCACATTCTTAAAAGGAATCAAGTATTATTTAGGAGCGGCTCAGAAGAAAGGACGGGGAGTAAACGAGTAGCATGAGCCGGCTCAACCCCAAACCATTCCGAACCTCAAACCGTTCTTAACGTGGGGGTGGAGTTTTCCGTGGACTTGGACTTGCTCTGCTCAGCACAGCGCTGAGCTGTCCTCTCATCGGCAGATCGGCCTGTCCTGAGTTTAGCTCGGCCACAGCCAGGAGGCCAGGATGGTCGGGGCCTCCCCGAGGGGTTCACCAGGTGACAGCGGCAGAGAAGCTGACGCTCAGGGCACAGCAGGCGGGGAGGTGGCTGCTGGCAAAGCGGGAGTCCCGTGTGGGCGCATACCCCCAGGCGGCTCAGCCCACCCTGGAGGGGACGTCATCAGCTCTAAGGGAAGGACAGTCTCTAGCTACAAGGTCCTCGGGAAAGGGGGATTAGCTTTCCTGAAGCAGCTGTCACCAGGGCTTGGTGGAGTGCTCTTTCCCAGAGGAGCAGGATTTGATGAAACGGGCCCGAGGGCAGAGGCGCTATGGGAAGGGGGCGCAGAAAGGCATGAGAGGGGAGGGGGGAGGAAGGAGAGGAGGAAGCAGTATCTCAGCAGCTTTCTGGTTTTTTAAAAAAAGTTTCTTGCCTTTCAAATAAATCTTGCACCAAGCAGCATCTCTTGGCAGGTGCCAGTGAAGAGTGAGGGGCAGAGGCCAGGAACACGAAAAAGGCTAATAGCACCAACGGTTCCCCAGAATGTGCTGGAAACAGAAACCCGCCTAACCACCGAGTGCCCTTGGATATGAGTAATCCTCTTTCCCCAAGACAGAAAACCTTAGAGTGACCACTGGGTAGGATTCTCCATCCGCTGCTGAACTCAAAGCACGCGATGCAGCTCAGTCTCACGAGTTCAAAAGCTACGCCTTGTGGTAGAGACAACAGAAGCCCCTTCTTCGAGACTATGGAAAAAGCGTTCGTTTTCACAAAGAGCGAGCAGTGTTCTCCTGCCTGCGGGGGAGGGATGGCGGAGGGAAGGGTCGGGGGTACAGCACCAGCCAGCAGCCAAACACGACGGAGAAACACGGGTTAATTCTCTGGAGAAACGAATACCACCTGTGTCTGTCATACTAACGCAATTCACTAAAAGCCATTTAAAAACTTACAACACCTGTAAAAAATCAAGTGACGTTCCCAGTGATCAGTCAGTGCCTCCAGCACTTTAAACTCCAGCATCTATCCCACGCCTCAAAATGATCTGTTCATACACCTACCTCCCCTGATGGGCCACATCTCCATGAGAGGGTGTGCTCCCCAGAATCCGGCTGCTCCCCAGAATCCAGTCTAGAACCCGGCATAGAGTGAGTGCTCCATAAACGCCAGCTGACGTGCTAAATGAGCCAATATTACACGGGGGTCGAAGACCCAGGATCCTGACCTTGTACCACATGAGGGCGCGGCCCCCCGTCTCTTGGTGAGCTTTCTGCATTAAGAAATCTCAGATCCTGTATTAGAGATTCAGAAAATAACCTTGGAGAATTATTTTGATTAGCAGTTAAAATTACAGGGACCATTTGTAATATTAAAAAAGGAAGTGCTGTTTCAATATCTTGTAACTTAAAAGGCTGGTTTTGATAATATGTGACAATGACGACCGAAGGCCACTGCATCTTCCTCTGTGATTCACTAAATGGAACAATGCCTTTGACAGT